ATGAGCACATAAATGGTAATAAAGCTGAACGTGATCAAACATTAGGCTGCAGCAGGAAGAACCACAGATGTGACCTGATCCAAACATGACGGAGTCACATCCACACAAACATGTTGTTCCCCTCGTGGTGGAGCAGCCACACAGCACAGTGTCCACCCATGTTTCTTCACCACAAGCCGCATGGGGCGACCTATTACTGCTGTCCAGGGGTGGGTGACAGGAACCCCCCACCCACCCACCCATTAACTTCTTTTGTGTGTGTACGTTTCTTTCTTTCTTTTCTGTAATAAACAGCACAGCTCTCCCAGCTCATAGATACAGACCAGCCTGCACACAGTGAGATGTATGAGAACCTGCAGGAACATGTTCGCGATTATTAATATGAGCCTGCAGTTATTAAAGAACAGTAAGATTAATTTTACACAGATTAAATATACATTGAAAATATACAGAGATTAGGTCAGATATGCTCCAGAGGATGATCCATGGTGACTTGTTGTAGCCTCTGTCTGTCCAGCACGTAACAGCAGGTGATTTAAACTGTGACTGTGACACGCTTTCTATCTTTGTTTTATTTGTGGGGAAAACACAGGTACACACTGGAAGCCCAGATGTCCCAGTTTTACAGTGGAACTGGGAAGCAGCTCACGTTTGTGGATCTGTGCGAATTTGTCCCCAAACGCCACGTGGGCACGCGGCGTGATCTGTGCGTGTCAGGCGATTCGTCCATGCGTGTTTAAGGTGAATGTTCCTGCGTTCCAGATGTTTGTGTGCACAGAAAGCTCACAATGATCCGATTCCTGAGCTTAATAAACTGAGTATTTGTTCAGGATGTGTGCATTCAAATGTTGTTGTTTGTTAATTTATTTCAATCATGTAAACAAAGTTCATTTAGCAAAGAAAAGAAATGTAGAAAATGAAGCTAATACACTTCAACTGCTCTGCTTCAGTTCAGTGGGAGGAAGTACACACACACATTTAATCCCAGCTCTTTGCCATGTGAGTTTACTCCTGTGGATTATACACAGCTGCAATCCTGACACATATGTCTCTGTGCTGCACACAGTCTGCACACGTGCCTCTGCTCAGCGGCCTCCTCGGCCACGCTGACGTCTGCAGAAGCACCGAGTAATTAAGCCTGAACTTTCAAAATGAGCAAAAGAAGTCAGCTGAGGCGGGACAATGACGTCACTGGCCTCGTCTCTTTGTCGTCTCTCCTTTTTATTTA